ACCTTAAGGATTCTGTGATTCTGTGATCTGTGAGTCACTACAAACTGTGAGTGATAAGGTGGATTATCTATAGTATAATTTCTATCTATATAACATGGTAAGGATTTCATTTTTATTTGCTCCCTAGGAGCTGTCAGGGGTAGCCACCTTAAAATGAATTTGAGAAGAGCACCTTTTGGTGTTAAAAGCTAAAGAGAGATGAACAGAAGGTTTAGGCAAAGAAACTTACATGTTGTGACAAAAGAAAATGGAATTAAAGAAAGTATGTTTCACATGGATTTCTCAGGTTCGATGCTCAATAGCCTGGCAGCTGTAGTTTTTTGAAGCTCTGAGGTCTCCCATTTTTCTGTTAGGTCTTATTGTTTTATCTAAATGCTTTGCATTTGTTTTCTTTGTTGATCCCCCTCCTGAGGCTGTTTCTCTGTTCTCTTTGTCTCTGTTTATCTGCTTATTTTTTCATACTTTTCAGTAATGCCAGGCCACAAACACTGAAATCTTTTAAGCTGTCATTGTAATATTCACTGTCATTGCTGTGGAATGATAGCTTTAACCTCGCTACTGTATTTTCTGAACCTGAACTTTCTCTGACTCTGCTTCCCATGTTTTGCTTCTTTACATGTGCTTAGGGCACATCATTTTCTGGGAAACTGCAGATTCCCATCCTACTGCAAGACTCCAACGCCTGATGTACCAGGTTCTTAGCCCTTGGCAGTTTCAGAGTAACAGTAACAACAGTGCTTTGGTGGGAATATTATATCTATGCAACAAAAAAGATGAAGCAAGATTCTTAAAATGGTTAGCTTTGTTCAGAAAGAGAACAAAATCAGCTGTTAAAATGCCCAGTTCTACTTTACTGTTACTCCAGTCTTTTCTGAATGTTTGATACTGCTTGATATTGGAATGAGGAAAATAAGTTCTTGTGTGTATTTTTCAATGTGGTGTTTGTAATGTAATTCCTTTTGCTTCCATGTAGTAGTATTGCCAGCAGGTAAACAGATTGAGGAGTAATAGCTTTAACCAAGACTTGGTTGTGTTCTTCTTAGCCTATTACTCTACTGATGGAGTCATCAGATGCAATGAATCTCGCTTGCCTAACAGCTGGATACTATAGACTGCTGGTTGACTCAAGGCGCTCAATATTTAACGTGGCCAACAAGAAAAATACAGTGAGCCGAGAAACAGGTATTCGTTGCACAGTATGTTAGCGATGGTCCAATGTATAAAGCAGAAGCCAACTTAGGCTAGTGCACCTCCAGATAAATACAAGGCTATGCTAAATGAGATCTGATTGCTGGCTCAGACCTAGCACTGCAGTGTATCAGTTCAGCTTTATAATGTTCTAATACTCAGCCTATGATAGCATCTTAATGGTAAACTAAAGCAAGTGATTAATGTCTTTCATACTGTAGTGAAACAGATGCATACTCCCTGTGAGTGTTATTATTTTATATGCCTATATCTTTTGTAAGAATACAGCTGGTGTAGGAGAAGCTAGCTGGGATTTGGTTTTGTGTCACTATTCCTGGAATAGCATTTCTACTTAGCTGAGGTTTAGTCTTGTATTGAAGTGCAAAAGTACCAGTTAAACTTCAGGTCATTAAATCAACAGATATTTGACTCAGAGCAGAGGTGAGTTTGAAAATACTTTTCTGAAGTGTTTGATGGCCCAGCTGTCTTATTCGGAGTGTTTATTGCTCAGCACTAACAAGTTATTGTTTAAAAATTACATGACTTGCTCTTCGGTTTCACAATGTTGATTTTATTTCACCATGCTATAGGAACTGAAAATAGAGGGAAGCATAATCTCCTTGCTTCTGAGTGGAATTTTATACCAAAAACTACCACTTTCCTGGCTGAAGGAGATCAAGAGACTCAAATGTCCTTTGCTGATCCAAAACAGAAGACTGTAGATGTTTCTGAAAGTCTGTTATGTCAAAAAGAACACAGACACCTGTACATAGAAAATACTTATAATTCAGGTGGATTTGATCAGCATCTGGCCAAGCAAAGTGACCCCACTGAAGCAGAAGAAAGCGGAAATTTTAATCAGCCTTCACTGCTGTCACTCTCAGGTTTGGAATCTAGCAAGAAAGCACAGGATTCTCCCAGGGGAGCAAAAGTTTCCTTTATATTTGGAGATCACAACTTGGATGGTATCAATCCCCAGACTCTTGGCTATGAAAGGCTTTTGGATGAAAGTCCAGAAGTACTAGAAAAACAAAGAGCCATTTATATTAGTAATGCAAATGACATTAAAGGCCTGGAGTTGTCACCGGATGCTGAAAGCATTCAGTTTGCTACAAATTCTGTTTACGCAACTATAAATGATAGTAAAATATTTGGAGCTGCGGAAGGGATAGAAGAGCCTTTGCTACATGATATTTGTTATGCAGAAAACACAGATGATGCTGAAGATGAAGATGAAGTAAGCTGTGAAGAAGACCTTATGGTAGGAGAAATCAATAGGCCTGCTCTTCTCAGCCTGTCTGGTTCTAGTGATGACATTATTGATTTGACTTCACTTCCACCTCCGGAAGGTGATGATAATGAAGATGATTTCCTATTGCATACCTTAAACATGGCCATTGCTGCTCCTCCACCTGGCTTCAGGGACAGTTCAGATGAGGAAGACTCTCAGAATCAAGCACCACAGCCTAGAGACAACCAGGAGCAAGCCAGTAATCTAGGCAATGATGACATTCCAGTGTCGCTTATCGATGCTGTCCCTACTAACACAGAGGGGAAGTGTGAGAAGGGGCTAGATGATGCTGTAGTCTCTACACTTCAAGCGCTAGAAGCTTTGGCTGCTTCAGAGGAACAGCAGACGAATGACAATTCAGGTTCTTTCACGATAGTTACATTTATTCATTGAAAATCATTCCATCTCATCCATTTAGCTTTGGAAATACACCATTTTATGAGGGTTGGTTGTTTTTTCTTTTTTGCTTTTCCTTATTTTTTGCCATCATTTTGCATACATCATATTCCATATTATTTAGTGGAACTGCCGTTATGTTACTAAACTACCTGTCCCGGGAACTGTGCAATAAAGTCAGAGTATTCTCACAAAGCATATTTTTGTCTCTAACACACTTTGCTTGTCACTTATCCAGGTGCTTCAGCTGCTGTCATTTAATTGACTCTTATTTTTTGTGGCTTGCAGGTGTAGCTATCCTGCGAGCATATAGCCCTGAGTCATCTTCAGATTCTGGCAATGAAACAAATTCCTCTGAAATGACTGAAAGCTCTGAACTAGCCGCAGCACAGAAACAGTCAGAAAACACTGCACGTATGTTTTTGACCACAAGTGAAGGCTACCAACCCCTTGTGGAAGAGCAGACTGAATTTCCCATCGCTAAGAATCAGGCTGGAGGGCCAGGCATGAAGCCCTCACAGCCTTTGGCTGGTCATCAGGCTGCAGAGCTACAGTCAAAAGTTGTGCCTTCAAAGCAGATTCTTCATTCAGATAACATGGAAATGGAGCCAGAGACCATGGAAACAAAATCTGTCACTGATTATTTTAGCAAATTGCACATGGGATCCTTGGTATATTCTTGCACTAGTAAAAGGAAAAATAAGATGACAGACGGTGAAGTAAAAGCACCCTCTGATGGCAATGCTACTGTGAAAAAGCAACAGGGAACTAAAAAAGCAGAGACTGATGAAGATCTAAAAGCTAAATTTGGAACTCTTTCAGCAAGAGACAGTCAACGCCTAAGCACTTTTAATGTGGAGAGAACTGCCTTTCGCCAAAGATGGTATGCTGCCGATGAGGGGGCAGCAGATAAGCCAAGCCCAGAAACAGTGAACGGGAAGACTTTTCCAAGAGTTCCTGCCCTTGGTAAAACAGAAACTGACTGTAAGGATGAAGTGGATCCTGAGATGGATCAGGATAATACCTCGGGGCTTAGCCAAGGTGAAAACTTTCTGTCAGATATGACTCCTGTGTCTTCAGCCAAAGACCTAAATGACACAGAAGATACCGATTTATCTGCAGATGACCATCCTTCAAAGCTTCCAGAAGCTGAGCAGAGCGTGGCTAGACTTTGTGAATATCACTTGGCTAAGCGCATGTCTTCTCTGCAAAGTGAAGGCCATTTCTCACTGCAAAGCTCCCAGTGCTCTTCAGTGGATGCAGGATGCAGCACAGGCAGTAGCACGTGTGCTACCCCTGTTGAATCTCCTCTTTGTACCTCTGATGTTAAGCACATTATCTCTGACCCATCAATGAAGGGCATTGGCTATATTCCAGCAGATGAAAGAGCTGCCATTCTTCCAAACCATGGAACGACATACAAGGACCTGCACCAGCAGCCTGAAGCCGTGTGTCACCGAATGACAGTGCCTGTCGTGCATTCAGCCATTAATGCTGAACCACTGTTTGGCACTTTGAGAGAAGGATGTCATCGGATCCCCAAGATAAAAGAAACTACAGGTACAGCAGTAATAAAGTGTTTCTTATGTTTGCTTTTAAAGCTATGTGTAAAGCATGAGGACTAGGTGTGATATTTACATTATCTTTATCTGAAACTACATCATCCAGCTATAGAAGGCAGTGGGATTAAATCTTCAGTGTATCTGTTGATTTTAGTTGTGTGTGTTCTTATGAGCTGCTTACAAAGATCAAATTTTTTAAAACCTCTCCTTACAGTTAAAAATATTTGGGGGAACACTGATGGAGAGGCCTCTCTTCCACTCTTTGGAAGCCTCTCCAAAATCCATAGTCATTTGAGTTCCAGGATACTTGTTAGATTATAAAACAACTTCACAAGGTGTGTTAATCTAGGAGAGAAAAAACTGATTGATTTATTGAGTATCTTATATGCTATGTTAGCAGATTGTCAAAACAATGCCAGTATGAATAAAAAACCTCTAAATGTAAGGATGAGAAAATGTCACTCTCTTATTATGTATTTACTTCACCATCTGACAGTAGGTGTTTCCTTAAAGAGTAATTTACATACAGAACCATTGCTGCATTTTTAAGTTCCAATTTCAAGAGATTTTATGAACTTTCTGTTATTAAAAAATGGAGTTTTTCAGAGATAGCATTGAAAATTCTTCCAGTTGGGGTTTTAAATATTTCCCTCTTCCTGGGTTGCAGCCCACATGTGGCAGTAGTGTGTGAATGCATGAAAATCTAAAAGTGGAACAGACTAGGACCTAGAATGAGAAATGTTATTTCTCTACTACAAAATCCACATAACCAAACCAAAATTACCATGAATGCATCTTTCCATACCCTCTCAGGTATAGTTAAAGAAGGTATTTTAATCTGAAAATATTAATCTAATTAGTTATTAGAAAACATGAAATCCATATATTCAGTGAGACTTAGGATGTTTTATAGATTATTTTCTATTCCCTTTTTTTTTTTTTAAATGAGTCTGCTGTAGTGGAATGAACAATTAACTATTCATAAGTTATAATTTGTTGATAGATTTTAAGAGGCATCTTACTGAAATACAAAAGGCATGAGAAACTAGAAATTAATTTTTTGTGAAATATTTTGAGGAATGGAGACTACTGGGAAATTATAGGATCCATTTGTCCTGACTGTTAAAGATATTTAAAAGTTCAGTCTCTGAATATTATCAGGGTGATGCTTAATTATTCTGTCTGCTCTTCTACTACCCCTAGTGTAGCTTTCACAGAGCCTGAAAAGGGAAGACAAGGAGGCATGCCTACAGCTTTTCCGAGACAGCCTCTAGCTGACTCCATCATGCTACCATCCATGCTATCAGAATCAAAGGTGCCAAGTCAAAATCAAGACTCTTGTGACATTCCCAAAGTAAATCAGGGTTGTGGGGCAACAGTTAGTTTATGGCCATATGACATGATAGGAGGAAGCCTCAGGATGCCGCACAACAGGAAAGTGCTGAGACGCAGCAGCAGCATCATTGGAGAATCTGCAGGCATTGAAATGCTGTTTGAAAAGAAGGCAGCTGCAGCCAGCTTGAAATGCCTGGACAACACCCGAAGGGACGAATCCAAGTCGGAGAGAAAAGTGGAACTCCCTCTGGGCAAAAAGCTGTCAAAAAGTTATTCCCAGAGTTGTGTGTACGTCAGCACTGATAGGAAGGACAGTAAGAGGTGTTCGGGCACCGGCGCCAGCCAGAAGGACTCCAAGCAGTGTCGAACGTTGCCCTTGCGGAAGCTAGACACCAGCGCCTGGAGGTGTCATGGCCCCTTTAGCTATTGTTTCTTAAGCAAAGGAAATGATGACGATGATGAAGATGATGGAGACAGCCATCAGCTCCCGTGTCTCTTTGAACCACAGATGCCGTGTGAGCTCGCAGAACCAGTTGGTCAGTCGTTTTCCAGTGAAAATGAGCAGGAAGTCTTGGAGTCCCCGAAAGCTGCTGAGCCCCCACAAGATGAGGCAGTCAACACACAGGAGAAGAACAGTGCTGACACTCAAGGTGGCCAAATTGATGTGAATCTCAACGATGTGGCCTTCGATGCACGAATCACACGAATAAATGTGATGAAAGAGAAGACATATGCAATGCCTGATGGATTTATTGCAGCACAAAAGGATGCCAATGAGCTACTCTCACTGGTCCGAGCAAGTATGGGCAAGAGAGAAGATTTACATCCAGAAACATATGACCTTAAACTTTCTAAGTACAAACAACTGTTATCTATGGAATCAAGACAGTTGGGAAGTGCCTGCAGGAAAATGGCCATGGCTGATAAAAGCCCTGAGGAAATGCTTTTAGCTATGACTTCCAGCTTTCAAGTACTCTGTTGCTTAACAGAAGCCTGCATGCGTTTAGTTAAAGTCATGAACTCGGAAACACAGCAGCAGGAAATTATAGCTAAGATAGATGAGGTTGTAATAAACTACATTTGTCTTCTGAAGGCTGCAGAAGCAGTGTCAGGCAAGACCTCCAGTGATCCTAGCATTAAACTCTTGGCTCGACATTCGACTACCATGGCCGCTATTGTAAGCACACTAACACGTTCTCTTAAAATGCTTTTAAATAAATAAAATAGAAAAGTCACTTCATAATCTACCTTTGCAAAGCCATACATAAAAAACTTTTATTTACTGTATGTGTATGAACTAATGTAACAAACTCAGCTTTCTCTGTATATTTTGTTATTTTATATAAAATAGTTATGAGATTTAAAAAAAAAGTTAGTATACTGAACACTGACAAAAGTAGTTACCAGATCTGTCCTTCTGTTTATACAAACACAAAAGCCAAAAAAACCCCTTTCCCCAAGACCAGAAAAAAACAAACAGAAAAAAATCCCATATAGGAGCAAATTGATGTTTGGCTATTTTCCATATAGTCAAATCTCCGGTTGTATGAAGTAAACTTTTAAAGCTTGTTATGTCAATGAAGTTGTTTTTTGTTTCATCCAAATTTTCACTTGGAGAATGCTCCATGTTTGGAAATGAGAAATTAAATCATAATGTATATAACACAATATTTAATGTTTTAAAATTATAATTTTTAAGCATTGAAAATAGCAAAAAGACATTTAAAATCCAAGAGACTATTATAACTTACTAGAGAGTATATATATATAAAAAATAAATGACTCTTTTGTTCATATGTTCTGAATTACCTGATTCTTCTTTTCGAGGAAGTTCTATATTTAAAAAAAAAGTATTGAAAATACCAAGTTCAGAGGGTATCTGATGTATTGAACTTTACAGTGTTAACATTTCAGATAGTGAAGGTAACTGTGGAAGACTGAGGACACAGAAATCAGAGAGGTGTTGTTCTCTCTGAAATGAAAGGTTGATGCCATACTGGTCAGACCAGAATGTACAGGGCCGGTCTACACACTTTTTTAGAGAGAGGACCATCAGGAAATTCCTGTGCTGTTTACTGTTTCATCATATAGCTATGGTGCATCTGAACAACATGAACTGCATCTATTTTGTTAAATATTTTATACTTCATATTTTATGATTCTGAATGTTTAACTGTAAATAAGTTAGAAATAAAATGGAGTTTTCAGAATACAATAAATATCTCTGAAATATTTCCAGCCAGAGACAGTTCTTCTCTGAGTGATGACAAAGGCAATTTGTGAATAATCTCTCCCATCTGAACTTTTCTGGTAAGCATTTTGTAGTCTTGCATTTGAGAGACAGCCAAAGCAAAAGCTCTCAGTTTCACTTGACAAATAGGCTTTCACAAGAGCATCTGTTAAACTTTTCAGTCACTGAGGAGCAGCAGCCCTTGTGAAAAGTGCAGAATACCATTTTCCGAACGGGTGTAGGTAATTTTCATCTGTTTCTCGTAATGTTACATGCAAAGAGTGTAACCGCTGTGTTTTGAAAACTTACCCATTCAGCTGAGGCATGTGTGAAGCTTTCTTTGCTGAACTAGAAGGACTAAACCAACAAAATTAAGTTTTTGACATGGAAATATTTTCCTGCATAGAGCAATGCACTTCACTATGAAACCGAGACATGCTTTTTCCTCCGACTGCAGAGAAACATGTCCAGAAACACAGTATCAGAAGCTTAATCTTTTGTCTGTAGGAGAAAAATCTGGTTTCCTAGCCCAATGCACTTGGCACGCAGACCCACTCTTGAGGACAGCTCAGAGGTAGGCTGCAGGCTGAATTACGTTGGTGGTGGGTGAGAACAACCTGTCCCATGTGGTGCTCACAGTCAGCACTCTCATTCTGGCAGCCCAGAGAGTGGGACTGTCTGTGCTACTCTTTTGCTGCAAGTACCAGTGAAATTCTTTTGGTGGTTTTTGAATATTTCATAGTGGGGAAGAAACAAACTGAATTGTTGTACTGGTACATATTCCTTGACTGGTTTGTGAATTTATGTAAAAATGTCATCAGTGATTTGGAAATACTAAGTTTCAAAAATGGATTTAGGATTGTCACAACTATGCCTCGACAGAGATCATAGGGATGTGGCACTTTGAAGGTTGCTAGTCCAGTCCTTTTCATTCCACTCCATTTCATAAATTGATCTAATTTTATTTCAAAGGTAAGTCGATTTTTCTTGTCCTTACTGTTTCAGAACTTTTCTGATTGTAAACCTGACCATTTTGTTCCCTAAAGTTAACAATGGTCTTTTTTTGTGGCAATATTCTTAGGTTTAACTAGTGGGGTTTTTTCCTCTCCTTTTTAATGCATTTTCATAGGATCATGGAATAATTTGGATTGTACAGGACCTCTGGAGTTCATCTAGTCCAGCTCTTGCTCAAAGCAGGTCTAATCAGGTTGTTCAGGGTCATTTAAAGTTGAGTATCGGTCACCCTCCAAGGATGGAGGTCCCACAGCCTCTCTGGGCACCTGTGCCAATATTTTACAGTCTTTATGGTTAAAAAAAAGAAAAATTCCTTATGTCTAATTAGAATTTTCCATGTTCCCACAATATCCATTTCCTTTCATCCTATCACCGTGCACCCTTTAGAAGATTCAGGCTGTGTCTTTTCTGGTATCCTTCTGTCAGGTAGCTGTAGGCTGCAGTAAAGTCTTCCCTGAGCCTTCTCTCCTTCAGGCTGAGTAAAACCGGTTCCTACAGCCTTTCCTCATATATTGTGTGCTCCAGCCCCTGACCACTGTGGTGACCATCCACGGGACTCAATAGTGTGACTTCATAAACCACCAGCATGTTCCTATCTCAGTTTTGATAAAAAGGATCATCTAGACCAAGCTTTCTGAGTCACCTCTTAGATGATGATGCTGTCCCCCAGGATTTCAGATATCCCCATCTGGTACCATGCAGATGACTCTCTTGTAATCATTCCACACAGAATTATATGCAAGCTTTTAAATGCTGCCTTATGAGGACTTGTACAACAGCACAGCTGCTGGAAATAATTTGTATGTGGTCTCTTCAAATCACATGCAATCACAGGCATGTTAGGTAGGTGTCTCATCATCATCCTTTGTCAGTAAGTGTTTTCATCTTTCTTCCGGACTCCAGGGAGACCTTATTGCAGCCTTTCAATACTTGGAGGAGGCTTATAAGAAAGATGGGGACAGACTTTTTAGTAGGACCTGTTGTGATAGGGCAAGGTGTAATGGTTTTCAACTAAAAAGGGGGTAGATTTAGACTAAATATAAGGAAGAAATTTTTCATTATAAGGGTGGCGAAACACTGGCACAGGTTGCCCAGATAGGTGGTAGATGCCCCATCCCTGGAAACATTCAAGGTCAGGTTGGACAGAGCTCAGAGCGACCTGATCTAGTTGAAGATGTCCCTGCTCATTGCAGAGGGAATTGGACTAGATGACCCTTAAAGGTCCCTTCCAACTCAAACTGTTCTATGATTCTGTGATTCTGCTTGTCCTGTCCAGGTAAGGAGATCCCTGGATAATAATAGAGATAACTGTTAGTATTTCTGAAGAGTGTGACCTTGCACATCAGTTACTACTGAATTTTAACCTGTCTCTGTTAATCTCCAGCATTAACGTGTCCCTGTCTTCCTGTGTGGCATCCTAATTGATTCCTGCATTAATTGTATGTCTCAACTTCATGTCATCAGGAAATGTCATCAGTATGTACCTACTTCTTGCACTAAGTCAGAAGGAAATACTAAGATACTGTCATCTGGAATATGCTATACTTTTATAAATTTTTATATATACTCTGTATGTTTAGTGTGTTTTTTTTAACTTGACAAAATGATGGGCATCTTCATGTTTACGTCGCTGAGTTCAGTCTATTTTCTAAAATAATATTTGGCAGACTTTGCCATTTTGAAATTAAGAAACAAAGCTGCATACCGACGCATCTTTTCCTTACATTTAATTACAACTCAATCAGTTCGTGATCACTGGAAGAGTCAGAATGCTCTGTGATGTCCTCCTCACTGCTCACCAGAGATGTGAAATACTCTCTCTTACACTTGCACTTTTTCGAAGCTGTGGAATGGGCTCTTCCATAACGGTCACTTACACAGTTTATATCCTGCACTGAAATCCAGTTAAAGTTAGCAGTATTTTATCAGGGATTAATTTGGCTCGATAGGGTATAACTGTAGCGTTGTAGCAGTGCATGTTAAAAGCCAAAGTGCCTCATTGCACTAAGCACCAAACTGGTACAAAGTGAAAACTTTGTTCATGTCACAAGTAGCTGATCACTGAGCCCATGGCACTAACATTAACCGGTCTTTATAATTTGCCGTTCCAAGCTCAGGAGCAGCTGTTCTGCACCAAAGGAAGTGTTCTCAAGCAAAATGACCACAATCTTCCACGGCACTACCTGGTGTATTATCATGCAAGGAACAGCCCTTGTGTGTTATCAGAGCTAAATTTTGCCTAAGTGATGGAGCACGTGAGGTACTCACTATTAAAAAAAAAAATTACATTTTCCTACATTTTCCTGCAGGTGTTCTCAAGGTGAAATAGAACATTTTCTGTCAGTGCTGATGGAATCTGGGAGATGCTGTTTGGTGAAAATTTCTGAGATTTGATAACACTCCCTTTGGAGGCTTTGAAACAACGGGTCCGCGGAGAGCAAATTTAGTCTTACAAGATCTCGAAGTGAATCTCTGATTCATAAGGAGGAAAAAGAAGGGCAATCTAACCTAGCAGCCTGGCGTACTATAGTAAATGTAAACCTTTCAGTATTGATTTTGAAGTGCACTTCCATTCTGAAAAGAGGATTCTGGTATTAATGACACATTTTTATGCAATAGGCCATATTTAGTTGCATATTAAAGTTCATTTTGTAATTCTGAAAAAAGACCTATTTATTCTCAGCCTGCAGATTTAAGGAGTAAAAAGGAGTGTGTTATGTCTTCTGCTCCACTAATAAAATCTTCTAAATTCTTTTTTTTAAGTGGTTGTCTCGTCACACTGGGTTTATGTGGACCTTATTGCTCAGGCTTGTGGGATATTTGCTTTTTATGGTACCTGCACTTGCAACCATCTTCTCACATTCTCAGCACATTATATTTGAGATGTTACCTAGACCTATTTCATTCTTTCTCAACTGCCAAACAAATTGTTTCTTGTTCATTTAATTCATCCTTATTTCAGGATAACCTTTTTGCCT